CAAAACTACGTGTTGTGGTCTTTCTTTTATGTATTGCGTTATGTCGTTTTGAGATAAATTTGTAAGTGATGGAGAAAAAATGGATATCATTTTCGGATTCAGCATAAAGGAATTACTATCGAACATGTACACATTTCAAGACAATAAAACTATCGCAGGCTTGTGTAATTTCAAAGCTCTAAATTTGAGACTCGCTAGAATAGTGCAGTTTATTTTCATTTAATATTTTAAATTAACACAGCACATTTTGATAACTTATATACTGTGTTATGGCCAATATTAGCTAAAGCTATTGATAAATTTGTGAGCTTTTGCTAATTTTAATAAAGAAAAGATTTAACATTTTAAATTAAATATGAAATGAGAATCCCTTTTTCTGCAACATCCTACAAATGTCAATTTTCTGTATGTTTTTTAGAGCCGTTGCCTCAACTACAGACAAATGTAATAATTTCTGTTGCAATCTCTAACCATATTTTCACTGTATTAACAGTTATTTCAACTGTGACACAAAATAAATATATTTTACTCTTGCAGAGAACAATGACGTTAAATTTGATTTCACATTGAAAATCGAAGCTGGAATCCAGATTTATGAATAACTAACAGAGTTATATTTTCAGGTAAAACCGATTTCCGTCAAGTATCAGATAGGCAAACTCATAAATAACAATAAGGTCGATAAAAAGGTAAGTGGAATGTCCTGTAGTAGATAACTGAACTGAGCTTCTTCAAGTGTAAAATAACGACACTGGATAATTGTGAATAAATGAGCACGTTTTTTTTTGTTTTTTTTATAACAAATAAACAGAAAACAAAGTGTAAGTACCTACGAAGATGAAATGATAGCAGTCCTTTCTACTAGGGTAACTAGGCTGTGTTTAGTTCCATAGATTTCTCTCCCTCAATATTAACCTTCATCGAGTTAAAACACACTGTTCTTGAAATAAGTCTTCACTTGAAGATATCTTGGTAAAAACTGGTTAAAGAACGTCTAAATTCAGCTTTCTTTGTCCGGTTAATAACGTCATCTCATGATCTTTGGAATCTCATTACATTGGTCGACTGTTACATCTAGTCAACGACATAATCGACCAGCAAAGGACATTACATTACCAATCCTTTTAACCCAGATAGTATAGATTATTGCAATGTCCTCCTGGGCAGAAGAGACATCACTTATTATAGAGAACAAAGAAACTAGAACAAGGTAATCTTAACGAATTTCTGGACCATATGTTGCTACCATTACAGCATAGAAACTAAATAACTGAAAAAAAAAATTGTGTCTCTAAAACAGGTGTAAAACATGCGATATGTCTAAATATTACAACTGTTTACAGGCCATTATTTTTATAGCCTATTTTAGCATTATAATCTCTGAAGCTTACTATTGAGTTATCAGGCGAGTGAATAATAACTTAAAATTGGCAATAATTAGTTTAAAATTGAACATGAATAAAAGCAGGCAGAGAACATCCCATTTGTTAAGAACACTTCAAAATATTGTTAAAATAATATTGCAGATGAGCTGACATATCTTTTTATGTTACAAGATGTGGACTAAATTGGAAGACAAGTAATTGCAGGCTGTATAAGTAGCAATTGGGCTACACTTGTAAGAACTGCTGAAGCAAATTACACAGGTGTTTGGCTGACATACCTGGTATAGACCTATAGTATTATACTATAAATGCTGCCCAGTGGTAAATATGAACGCTTATAATGCTAAAACCCAGGATTTGATACTCATGGTGCGCACAGCACAGATAGTCCATTGTGTAGCTGTGTGCTTAACTACAAATAAACAAACACTATAACATATTACTGGTGTAGTCTTTAATAAATTAATATATCTTTGTTCGCTTAAAACATTTTAACGTTAAAGTGAGTTTGTCTGTGTTATTTATGTTGCATTTCAAGTTTTCTTTTTTTTTATGCTGAAAACGATGAATATTTTTCCTTTACCTAAATTTTCTAAAATGCTCACATATACATGCATGTTGAGATTAACATATATGTGAATTGACTATGGATATAATAACTTATACTTTACACTAGTCATACATTGTTATAGATCATTCCCCTTTAGTATTACTGAGCTCTTCCATGAAATATAGTGTTGGAAAATTCTTCAACCTTATATTAACGTATTCTCTAGTGATATCAGTCATTTATATATAGGTTCAGGATTACTTGAAAGCTATTTTTCACTTGTGGGATAGGTAAGTGACATGGGTTGAAAGTGCACTTAGGAAGATTTGAGCCTATTTATACGAATATATGACGGTGAGTTCTTCCAGTCTTATTGAGCTCTTAAAATCTGGAGAATAGTATTGTCTTATGTTTTGCGCACTCTTCCTGCTTCTAAGTTGAATTGTCATTTTCACACAAATAAAGTGCCTGTTTTCGTATAGTTATACATTTTGTCCAGTCCCTTTTTCTTCAATTCAATCAGGTTAGAAGTTCAGTTTAACTTCGTGATACATTTTCTACCATTTCTATAGTTCTTACATTTATTATTCTTTTCTGAAAGTTATAGTCGTATCTAAGAATACAGCAGGGTAGGGGTAGAAATTGAGGAATTTGGATATTGTGTCTTCAAGATTGCTTTTGAAGAGTTTTCTCTACTTCTTTGGAACTCTTATGAATTGTAAGTTTTAAACTTTGGTACGAAATGGCATTTTTATGGACAATAGCCGGAGTTCATTGCTTATGGCAGAGTGTAATCTTAGAAATCACTAAAGTCTAGGAAAAGCACTCTCTTGGGCATTGGCCTTTCGCCACTACTGTAAAAGGCCGTGTTTGTGATCTTGATTTAGCCAAACACAGAAAGGAGAACCCCAATCTGGAAATTCCAGAATTGCTAACCAGATTCTATACTGAACGTTTTTCTGGGGGGTTCACAGAAGGTATGGGTTATTAAGTGTCAATGTGGTAACTTGTCAGCTTGTGATCTTCATATCCAATAGAGAGAAGTCTATAAAACACCTAGGTATCATCAACGAGAATAGCACCCCCCCCCCCCCCATCTCTGGTTGGTGTCACCCATGACCATCTGGATGAGACTTTTAGGAGCCAGTGGCGAATGAAGTCTGTCAAGCAGAGTTGTCTTTCTAAGAGGCATTTAGTGATGAAGTAAATCCATGGGGTTGGTGTAAGTTTCTCCATAAGAAGAAAATGCAGCTGGGATCAGTATAGATCTTGGAGAG